CTAAAACATGTTTGATTAAATTAGTTCTAACATATTATATTGTCATTATAATAATTGTTAGATACATATATTTTAAGTATTAATAAAATTCCAAGGACATTTTTGCAGTTAAAATTATATTTTTAGTTTAATATTGCATTTTTTATAAAGTAAAAAAGATTGTATGAAACATTCTAGGACTATTCATTTAGTAAATATTGTTTACTGCAAATTGGTTTTGTTATAGAAGTTATTACTGCCGATAATAAATTTCATAGTTAAGCTATCGTCATCAGCCTATCAGAGCCCACTGCTGAGCAAGGCCTCTTTCTCACATGGAGAAGGTTTGAGCATTAATCACCACGCTTGCTCAAGACGGGTTGGTGATTTCAAACATATAATTGTGAAATTATAAGTCCAGGTTTCCTCACGATGTTTTCCTTCACCGTATGTCAGTGGTGTCTAAATGCTCTCAGAAAGTACATATGACTCCGAAAAATCACATTGGTACTTGCCAGGTTTGAATCCGCGCCCTCGGCAACGAGAGGCGGACCCTTTAACCACTAGGCCACCACTGACTAAAGTTAAGCTATAATTAGTTAAAACTTAAAATATTATCCCTAATCACAGTATCAAAAATTTATCTGTGCATCTTTTTTAAAATCATTTTTAAGTAATTTTCAAATAATTCAAGAGGGCTCTCACGGCAAATAAAACTCTTTAAATCTCAAACGGCTTTTAGAAAACCTGTAAAGAAGCATTACCTCTCCATGACGTAGGTACTTAGTGACACTGACGCCGTTTGAAACCAAATATAAACTGGATTTTTATTTCACGTAGTTTATAAAAATGTTTTAATCAACTTATTGCATTATTTTAAAGGCTAATAAAAACAGTAAATAATTTTCTTTTGATTGAAACATATAAAAACAAAAAGTATTAAATATGATTACTGTATTGTTCTTTCTTACAGAAAAAACTTCGGTAAAGGATATTTTACAGAAGGTATTTAAAAAATATAATATATAATATTTCAGTTTAATATTCTAATGAAATATTTTAAATTATTATTTTATATATGGAAATTTTATATCAGATACGATTTTTTTTCAAACAAAATGCCGTCTATATTTAGATAGATAAATGATATAAGAGAGTTGGGTCAGAGGTGCCTCCGGGCGTCTCACCGTTCCGGACCAATTTTATTACATGGCCGCTCAACTGTGATGAACTAATTAATACATTACCCACTGCCTCACCTTGAGGATGTATGCAAACTATACGATATAAATCTAACTTGTTTGTTGAGAAGTTATCATCGAATAACGACAAGAAAGCCAAGGAATCAGAAGTACTGGCAATATCTTAACAGTTATTTAAGACTTTCGCGAGTATTCATTCAATTGAAACTAATATTTTTTCGGATGATTCGCGTATTTCAATATTTAAAAAACTACATACTCAGGACGTTTCGGTTTCTTTTCAGTAACCTTGATGACATGCAGACTAGACGAGATCCGAAAAATATTAATTTCAACTTAACAGTTCTTTTGCTTTATAAAATGATTATTAATTTAAATTAAATATCTTGCCTTCATTCAAATCCGAGTTTATGTATTATGAATCTAAATCAAAGAAAGTCATTATCTTTACCGAGTATTTATGGTAGTTTCTCAAGACTGTTAATATTTCTATTAAGATTATCTTTAATGACTTGAGGCTTGTTTCCAGTCTGTGTTATATTTACACTTCAAGCGAACAAGATAAATGTCAAGGCCTTAAGGTGCTCGGGTTTTTTTATCGATGACAAAAATAGATATATATTAGTTTAAACAAGTAGATCAAATCCTTTAATTCCAGACATACAAAATAAAGGTTGTCTATATTGGAGAAATTCATCTTTCTTCGTTAAACATAAAATAAATTTGAACTTAGAAAAACGGTATATTTTTTTGTTAATAATAATTTTTTAAAACATTACAAAAATTTGGCAGCTTTCTCGTTAAAGATCCCAGGCGATTCATTTCCCTACATCTTCAACAAATATCGTTAATGTACACACAAATCAATACAAAACCTTAACAAAATATATATTAACACCTTTCTCGAGAATCACGCTACCGACTGGTGAAAACTGCTTGGTAATTGATGCAGTAGTTTTTCTATTTATTGCGAACAGACAGAAAGACGCGGCGGGGGACTTTGTTTTATAATATGTATTGATAGCTAATGGATTATTACTCTAGTTGTGTATTAAAAAATAATTTAAACATAAGATAATATAGAACACCACACACAAATCTACAATATTAGCGGTAGTAGTACAATAATACACAATGTATTAGTTTGATCAATCTAATGTTAATATATTAACCCTAAATGTTGGAAATCTCGCATGATTTGTCCTTGTTTAACTTAACTAAAGCTCTAATAGGCTCACTAATTATCGTGACATTTGACATGACTATTTGTCGACCCGGATCAAATTTTGCAAAACCAATACAACAGATATTAAAGATTATTAGGAGAATTTGATACGTAATAAAATTAAACTTTAATTTTAATGGAAAAATTTCCTTGTTTTGTTTCGATATTTGTTTTATGTTTTCATAAATAAATCGATATTTTGTTTGATTCGGTTAGAATTTATTCTATTGCGGTGAAATCGTCGTTAGCGAGTAAATGTTTTCTATTCAGAACTTGATTGCTGTAAATAACTTTCAACAAATAAGTTTTATTGCAAGGTCATTTGAAATTGGATTCGGAATGTCAACAGAATAATAAATAATTAATTTACAAATGGTTTCTAAAGTTACTTCAAATTAAGCGCTGATTGGATTTCAACGCGATTCGACCTTTACGATGGAAAATTTATTACCCTTTAGCTTTATTTGTTTCAGATTTTTCATACATTATATGGTTCGTAATTAAAATATGGATAACATACATTGCTACTTTTGTAAATCTTTTTTTTTATTTCTTATAAATAGAAGCGCTAATGAATGAAGAACTAACAAAAAACTTATAATATTGCTCATATTTTTCATATAGTGTAAAAGTACATATTCTTATTCTATTATCATTGTTTACGACTTTTTCTTTTGCTTTATTATTATGTTGAATTATAGTAGAAAAACATAACCAAGAAGATGATGCATGAGAGATCTTTTTTAAGAATTTTTATTTATATTCCCAAAGCATAGTCCTTTCTAATATTTGGGTTGTTGTAACAAAATATTGTAACTTATATCGATCCATTAAAATTTGAAGAATATTTTTTTCTAAGTTACACTATTTAACTTTGTATTCCGTTCAAGATTATGTAGTATTATTTTAATTACTATTAATCGTTCTACATTAGTCTAAAAATGCTGCCGAATGCTTGACAATGCCTCCTTATTCGCTAACTCTGAATTTCAAATTGCTAAGATCTGTGACATTAACAGAGTGATGAGGTTTCTTTCAGACTAGAAAAGTTTAAAAATTCCAAATGTTTTTAGGGACTATTTGAAACAAATGAGAATAAATTAACATAGTTCTTTTTAAAACTTTAATATTTAAATTACTTTAACTTTAATAAAGAGTTGTGTTAGGATATTTCTTACAAATCAAACAAAAATGGATATTTAAACACGGATATGTAGATACGTACAAACTCATAACACTCCTTTTTATTAGTTGGTTAAATAGAAGGAATAATAACTGTGAATTCAATTATGCTAAACAAATAATATTTAGACCATCCAAAGTCCCCGATAACAGCTCAGTAAGTGCAGTAACTTATATTTACGAGTCTATAATGATATCTAAGACTTATAATTAATATGAACGGTACGGTCTTTATAGCGACTAGGCGAAGTACAAACTCCTTCTAAGTGCAAAACTTCTATCATAAAACCGCTACTAATTAGTTTTGCTTCGCTTTCAAAGACATTTTAAGGATTCTATTAATAAATTCACGAATTTTGGGAATCAACATTGTTCTGCCAAATGAATTGTATAAATTTTATTCTATATACAATAGGCATAGATTTTAAATAAGAGGTTTTGAATGACTTATTATAAATTGTGTATTTCTAGTATACAATATTACGAGTATCAGTCTGTTTTATAAAATTAACTATTTGAATATTATAAAAAAATTGATGCTTCGTTCAATTGAAAAGTATTTTTCACATATGAACAAATTCTGTTATAACAAAAAGATTTTGTTAATAAAATAGCATAAAAATAAGGCTCGAAGAGAAACTAAATTGGTATTATTATAATTTTTTTCGATGTATCTTTAAGAAAACAGTGTAAACTAAGGAATCTTCTGTTTGTATTTTACTCTTCCTTGTACTTGTAATATTGAACTTGTTATTTCTTTATTATTCTTTGAACTTGCAATTTCTATATAATACGTATTAGCTTTTATAAATTAGGATAACTCAATCAAGCCTTTATCGATTTTTTTTTAGTAAAGCCTTAAATACTTGTTACTATTATTTTGCCTTTAAAAGATTAATAAATTTCTTATATTAGAAATAGAATTTAAACAAATTAAAAGCATATATTGTTTTTATTTTTCTATTAATTAATTTTTTTGTCGTTACCATAATAAATAAATTTTTAGCAAAGTTTTAATATGGATGACCATTAGGTACGTGTTGAGTATATATTTTTTAATTGACTTTAAATCATATCAATTTAAAATTCAGAAAGGTGTTTGTGAATAATATGAAATGAAATCAGTTAATGATGAATTGAAACGCCAAACAACATCGATAAAAATTTTATTGATAAATGGTGCCGTAAGTGGCATTCGTCTATTAAGCGTACGTTTCTCCCAACGCTACGTCTCCATTTAATTATTTGCTATACAATGATAAAGTTAAATTGTTTAATGGTTAACATTTGATTACAAGACAAAGACGAGACGGGGCGAGGGTGGAGCGGGCGCGGGGGATATCGACCTAGCGACGTGGAAAACGCACCCGTTCAATACAAATACTTATAATCTCTAACTAACGATAAGTCTATTAACTTGATTACTATTAAAATTTTACAATGAAAATAGAATTTACTCTAAAAATAATTTCGCTCGGGTCAGGCGTCGGTCGTGAGTCGACTCAGGACGACCGGCGCCGGCATCCTTCGCGCAGTCTATCACATTGAAAGATTTATAAAGTAAGGTACACCGAGCTTACAAGACATGAGTTGAGACATATGTACGTGCTACTCTCACTCTCAACCTGAAAGTAATTCAGTGTTATGTATAAATATATATATAGAAGATATAATAGACTGATTGTCTCTACACGAAGAGGTCCTTCAGAGAGGTGCAGAGGGACGCGTCGCAGCCTTCTCCGGTTTCCTCCTCCTCCGGTCTGTTTGAGAACCAACGCTCGTTTTCACGTCCTGAAGTTCGGCTCGTACTGGGTGTAGGTCGAGCTTCAGTTTCAGGCTTTGTTATTTCTACAGGTATTGATATTCCTGATGACGAAGGAGCTGGATTGACGGTGTTCCCACTCCTTAGAAAAACCTCTATGGCGCTGCCAAGAGCACTTGCGTCCACAACAGATCCCGTGGGCTTATCCCAAACAACGGCAGCATCTCCTGGTGCCGGCTTGGAGTCTGGGGCGAACGTCACTTTGGGTTTCTTGACTTCGTTTTCTTTCTTCTTGGTAGCCAAAGTCTGATGTCTTCGTGCAAACCATCCAGTACCAGAATCCGAAAGCTTTTCACGTAGCGTAGAAGCATCGAAACTGCTTGATCTCATGTCCGCCAAACGCCTGTTACGATCAGGTTTACCACATCTATCTATCTCCGTTGCAGAAGAAGTTAGAGCATTTAACATCAGCTTGAGATCTGTGTCAGTACAAACCACACCAGCACCGCTACGGGGAGGTATCGGAGGTGGAGGGGGCATTTCAGACGCGCGACGACGAGCTGGAATTGGTGGTAATGGAGACCCAACGAAATCTGAATGTCTGCGCCCTCGGTTCGTATATCTAACCGAACCGCCGATTGGAGATCGCTCATCTAAAGGCTGTACTTCGCAAACCTTTTCATTCGATGTGTTCCACAGACGCATACGAACTTTGCGTGCCTGTACGATATCATCCATTATGTCCAATTGTAGATTATGAGTACTACCCAGCGCATCAGTGGCTGGTGGACCTGCAGAAAGGTATGATTTAAAGCCACGTTTTTAAAACTATCAATTAAATACTATATAATTATAATAAAAGTTAATAACATTTTTTAATTCCAGCTCCGGAGTCCCGGCGATGGCCTAGGGCGGGGAAAGCCGCAATAGATTCACGTCGGCCTCGTCCAAAGAGCGCCTGAGGCACTCTTGATATTGTTACTACGGAATGCCTGAAAAGAATTTTATTATTAAAGAATCAATATATGTTTGGGAAAGTTTTAGTTAATTTAATACCTATACTAACCTTCGACCCCCCGGTTGTGGTGGAGCCTGGCTCAAAGTAGCCAAAAAGGCAGCTTCTCTGGCCTCACGAGCCGCACCTTCGCCTCGCTCTGATAAGCGACGTACCTGAATAATTTATAGATAAGATAGTTTTGAATAATATGAAGACCTCAGATTAAAGCAAGTTGAAGTAACCAGAGGTAAAAAAAAATCATCTTAGTTCTAGTATTCTTCATTATAAGGCCTTTGATTGACAGTAAGACATAAAATATTAACATTTTTTCAATTATTGTCATAAAAGTACCTGGCTAGCAGTGGGTCCAGATGTGCAAGCTGGTGTTGGAAGGGAATGCTTGCGGTTGTCTCGCCATGGTGACAAGTGGTACGGGTCTGGTGGCGACTCCTGATCCTCAGAGAAGCCTCGGAAAGGCGCGGGAGGCCGATAGCAGGCCTCTTCTTCAGCCCCACTTTCTTCAACAACTATAAGTGGCTCGCCCCCGCCAGGGATAGCCATAGAACCACGCCGCATCATAGCTGTGATCAAAGAACTATTATGTGTATTGATCTGTCATAGAACTATTGTTATAGATTTTGAAAATGTTTTATTTCAAACCTAAACATATCGTTGTTCAGATGACCTGGTTTAGAAACAGTGGAATAAGGATTTTTTTATTACATTTAATTTTCATAAAACAAATGTGCTAAATGTATCTACTTATACTCATTTATATCATTATTATAATAGTGTATAAAGGTATGTGTATATATATGTATTTGAACAGGTTTTCTTAATTCCAAATTGCCGTTAATATTTTATTCATTAACATGAAATTATTATTTCACTACCTTATTAAAAAAATATTCATTTAAAGATTTTAAGTTGTACATATAAATAGAAAGTATGACTATGTTTTTTTCTTAACACAAAACTATCATTACATCTATATATAACTGACCAAGTGACCAATCGCCCAGTTAACCCAAAACTGAGAACTACATAAACAATTATTCATCAATCACGTTAGTATTTCCATTCCATCATTATTTACTCAGTTTCATTGCAGAGAGATATCTCGTTTCATTGCCAAGAATTCAAGCTAGCGTTGAAATATGGGCATGTATGATTGGTATGTGTAGAAATACGTACGGAATTATTTCACAATGTTTGGTATACAACTACTTCTGAGGAACGTTATATTTAATAATATTATAATAAAGGAATAATATTTATGACTAATTCATTTTATGAGTAATGTTAATAAACTTTAATTAATGAGTAAATTTAGGTACATATACGAATTAACTCACTATGTTCAATATATGAATTAAAATTGTGGCATTCTGTAATAAATGATTTGAGGAAGCGAATCTCTGAACAAAGCGTTTTTACATATAAATCTTTATAAGTGTCAGGAAAATACCGTTTTTCATTAAATCTTATTAAATTGTCGTATCCGAGCTCTGTTTATATCTATGAATAAAATAAAATATTCAATTTAAATCGAAACTTCCAATTCCAAGTAACATTACATACGAGGTTGACTCATCTCAAATTGAAATGTATTTTCCGCTTCACGGATTACAGATCGCGTCTGTGTCGTAACCGCACAAAATCTCACTGAATATCAACAGGTCCGGCAATAGGGTTGCGTGCGTATAGCTAAAATATAAACGCTTTTAAAACACATCTTTATATCTATATAACTCTTGAAAATTTAATGATTTTGTATATTTTGTGACAGCCCTACCGTGACCCAGTTTCGTGACCTAGACAATCCCCTCCGCTGCTAGGAAATAGCTATGTCTGTTACTTTGACAGCTCTGCATAAAATGAAGCTTTTGCGCTGATGCCTCTTCGATAATATCTAGCAATTAAAACAGTTATAAGAGCTATCAAACATTTATAATAAGTTGGTTTTCATACATATACTATAATATTAAATGGTTTCCTAGCTTAAAATTTCAATATTAAGATAGAATCTTACCTCTATTTAAATTTATATACAGATTATCTTTAGTAAAGCTTAATGGTTGGTGGATTAAACGTTTGGTTTATTAAAATATTTATGATCTACCGCTCGCTGTGTTGTAGTATTAAATAATTTCATATTAACGTTTCGTAGAAGATTTTTTCATACAGAAAACTATTTTATGGAAAACATATAGTTTTAGGTAATTAAGGATTGACGAAGCGGTATAATACTTAAGAGGTAACAATAGCTAACCAATAGTTTTGAATCGAGGATAAACTAAAAAAAACTTTGTTTTTCCCAAAAATTGTATGAATAATGTTTTATAGCACAATACGAAGACTCTGTTAGTCTATTTCCCGAGATTTCTCAAATACTTATTTATTTTTATGTTGCATTCTTTTTCTGTAAAATCTTTTCGTCAAAACTTTAAAATATATTTGTCTATATATCATTTATTTCAAGAAGCCGAATAAATAACTTTATATAAACAAGGACTTATAAGACCGGTCCTCTAGATTCACTATGTACAATTAAAGCATATAATTTTATATTAAGTGTATGAATATTTGGAATGAAGTGAGAAAACTCATCGAACAGAATTGGCTGTTTTCAAAAACATCACCAATTCTCAAGCAATTTTCAATCAAAATGAAGTCTGCTGCCGTTGATATAGAATCATACAACGTCAATGGGTCTATAATAAAACCTCTCAACTCCACCATTATGGATTATACGAACCTATTAGAAACAAATTACGTTCCAACACGAGAATCTACTTAGAATACCTTAACAATGGTCATAAAAGAAAGATTGCTGGTCATAAAATATATTACGATCGTTAATAATACGAAAAATATTGAAAAAATGATATCAATCAGTGGCTTGATAATAAAACTAATGAAATAAACACAAGTTAAACAACGATACAACCAGAAAGCCATCCCTAACTAGGAATGTTGTTAGTGAACTGTAATCAAGTGTATTAACGTAATAGCAGCAGTCATTCAATTATACCCTGTTTAGTTACCGTTAATGTATTGTGGAACTTAAGTTACATTAACTGAGAGGAAATATAACTTTATATGTGCTAATTATTACATATAGTATACAAAATAGTCATACAACTTTATTAAATGTAACGAAAAATATACATAAATGTATAACAACTCATTATAGCATCTTATTTTAGTGATATTTTAAAACACAAATGTTTATAACGAATTAATTTTCGCTCTTATATGTATGTTAAATAAATAAAATTAGAGTAAAACTTTATATATTTTTAGATTCAATAAATCGAAGTGCAAAAGACGCAGCTGTAATGTATTTTTGAATCTAAACGAGAAATACGATGTTGATTCACTCAACATCAACAAATATGTAGAACTGCATTACAGTTTAAAAACGAATGGACATGTTGTCACAGTTGTTGCAATCACTGGAAAACCTATTATCTGGAAAACATACTTCGGAAAAGGTTTTCAATGTTGAAATTAATTCTGTAAATGTTATAAATAGATAAATCATTTATAGGTATTTTTATAAATATTTCATAGGATAAAATTCGATAGGAAACTAATTTTTACATTTGGTTCAGGAGGTTTATTTTATCAAAGAATATATATTTTGTTATATGACGGCTACCCTCACACCGAAGTTTTGGAATATATAAACACAGATAATTTAATTAATCACAAATGAAATTGAAGTATAAACACTAAAAGGACAGACAAAAATCATAGACTACCTGTATTTTTTATAATAATGTTACTCAATATTGTTGAACCCATATCAACTATCTTTATGTGTTCTATTTTCATTTCTTTAAAAAATATAACTGTACCGATCTTTACTTGCTAACGAAGCCTCAACTGGACATTAATATATGACACTTTAAAATCAGTTTCAGATACGAATGGTTATAAATGCCAAAATAATAATACTATACATAAATTGCACATTAAAGTCAGCCACAGTAATTATCATTTGGTAAATAAAATGTTATTATATAATTGACACTCGTATGAAATAACAAAGAGAAAGCAAACATTATGGAATCAGATTACATTAATTTAACATTTTCCCTTACTATTATTACCGCGATGTCTCTATAAAATGTAAAAATCTTTGGTATTGAGATTTATTAGGTCAAATTAAATCCTTTGTCATCCCGTTACAATGAAATAGTTAACAAAATCAAGTTAATTCCAAGCATTTATAAAAAATATTCATAGATTTTATTGTTTTTAGAAAAACGTATCTCAAAATTAATTATTTTTTTATACTATATATGTATATGTTTCTGGCTGCTTCCAAAGTAATAATTAATCAAAACTTGAGCGTCTATGATAAACTCTAAGTAACTTACTAACTAAACTAACAATGATATAAAGTAATTTATTGTCTGTCTATTAATATTACTTACTCCATATTAACTGTTCTACAATATTTGTTTACATATGAGAAACAGTTCTAGTTAAGATAGGTGAAATCAGTACACGTATAAAATGAAGTTAGTTTATTATTTTTGCGTCCGTTACTTGCGTCGATAACAAAGTGAAAAGTTCTCTCAACAGGGAATAAAGTACATTCAACAATGATACATCATTCACACAAATAAATAGCTTTTATATAAAAAAACACAGGTATGAAGTAAATAAAACGACTTTGTATCATATCGTTGTTGTGTTTCATTGTTATTAGGAATGAATTTATTTCGTTAAATTAGTAATGAACAGTAATAAAGACTTTTATAATCACATGTACGTTAAGTATTTATAAATATCAAAAATGAGATGATTTTTGTTTGTTTTTGAAATATTTTTTCCGTGTATATAAATATATATATAGGCCAAAAGATATATAACATATAAATCATCACGACTTATCTTAATATACATAGTTCAATCTTATGTAATTGAATATCGTTTGCAAAAGAATTTTATGACATTTCCTTAAAAGATACACGAGACGTAAACGTACAGAAATGACACGTTAAAAGATGAGCTCACGCTAAAAGCAGTTTCCTATCCGGAAATAAAAGATATTAAACGACTCGAAGGCTTTCACTCGCATACGTTTATAACATTATATATAGGTATATCATTTTTAAGGCAGACCCTGGCTAAAGCTGGGAGATTGACAGGAAGAAGAAGATATAGGTATATCATTTTTACATTGTCTCATATTTTATTAATTACTTTAAAAACTTTACTTATATTTGTTATCATTAAAGCTTTTCGTCTCCTTTTTTTTTGGTAAAAATAACAACAATTTTCTTTATCTAAAAGGAAGCTTAAATTCAAATACACTTTGAGATGAGATATAGAAAGGTGCAATAACACTCGGCGGAGTTAAGAGATTCGCTGTAAGAAATGAAATGCTTCAGAGTGCTTAAATTCAACTTGACGATGTGAATTGTGAGTACTTTCTGTTTTAATTACGCCATTCGTGCTCTTTTTATGCCGCGGTAACGCATTCTTGACGCTTTACGATATACTACGTAGGTAATTTAAAAGATTAAACTGCTGGGTTAGATTTTGATAAGTACTATATTTCA